CTCGCCCACTGCCGGAGCCTCTGGGGGCCTTAACGAAGATGGGGGCAGGGTGTGGCGTCCCTGCCCCGAGAAAGGTCCTGGGGCTCAAGCACGGTGACCGGCCAGGAGGAATCGCTTCTCCACCCTGGGGAACCAGGGAGGGCTTCTTCAAGAACAGCTGGGCTGAGCGGGAGGGAGCGGGCAGGGACTGAGCCCGGAGCGTCTACCCCTGGGAGAAACTCGAATCCCAGGCCCCCACTGTCAGTGGCCTTGGGCACTACCTTCGGGCTCGCGGAGGGGAGGGAGCTCCAGCCTGGGTGGTCAGGCGCCCGACAAAACCACGTGCTGACCTTGGGGTAAGACACAGGCCTCCTCGGGGGGGCGGCTCCGAGGCCCAGAGCCTCCGAGGAGCACAGGGTCTGGGGGTGGGGGGGGCGGTGCGGGGACCCGGCCTGTGGGAGCAGCCCCTGTGGCAGCCTCAGCAGGCTCTGGTGTCCCCACAGGGAGCCGCTCCCCCCTCCTGACCGCGTTCCCAGAGCGGCCGTGGCTGGACCTTGCCTTCCCCAGGGACCGGTCTCGGGTGGGGACTCTCCAGCCCCGCAGGGAGACCTGGGCCTCCCCTGGCCCGGAGGAGCCTGGCTCCCGAGGGCCGCTTCTCCGCTCGCCTCCCGAGGGGGACGTGCCAGCTTCTCCCTTGCACGGCCCGGGTCCTGGACATTCTGCCCAAACCCCTCGGCGGCCTCAGTTCTCTCTGGAAGCCGGGCCTCCCAGTCTCCCTGCCTCCTGGCCAGTGCTGGGCCTCATGAGGGTCCCGCAGGTACTCTCTGTTCTTTGTGCCGGAGACCGTTCCGGGGTGACCAAGGAGAAAGGGCACCGTGGCCTTGTCAGCGTCCTCACGGGACGCCCGGGATCATCAGGCCGGGGGGCGCGGGCGTCTTCTCCCCGCCGCTGGTCCGCGCTGGGCCAGGCTCCCTCGGCCCCTCCACAGCGATGCCTCACTTCAACGGGGAAGCCCACTCTGACCTCCCTGGGCCTCAGCGTTCTCGCCTGGGAATGGGGCCAGTGCTGCCCCCCTCACAGGGCCGTGTGCGGGTGGAGCCTGACCGGTGCCCCGGCTGACCCCGCGGGGATGGGCTGAGCTCTGCCCGAGGCACGAACGGACGCATCGAGAAGGAACGAATGAAGGCCTCAGAGGCTCCAAGAACCGTGAGCGCGGTGCGCTCCGTGGAAAAGCCCAGACGTGAGGGGCGCGTGCAGCCGGACCCCATGGGTAAGAGATGTCCCGGGAGGTAAGTCCACGTGGCGAGCGAGGACGTGGGTGGCGGCCAGGGGCTGGGGGACAGGGAGCCCCGTTCACGGGTGCAGGCCGAGGGGGGCGTTCCGGAACCAGGTCGTGGGGGCGGCTGCACCACGGAGAGAACGTACCAGGCGCCACGGAATTGTTCACTTGAGAGCGGCCACTTTTGGGGCACCTGCCTGGCCTAGTCGGAAGCGCGTGCGACTCCTGATCTCAGGGTCGTGAGTTCGAGCCCTGTGTAGGGTGCAGACATTACTTAAAAATAAAATCTTAAACATAAACATGTAAATACGTAAATCAAGCAGCCACTTCTCCGTTATGTGAGTTTCACCTCAGCTTAAGAAACGAGGAGGGAACGGCGGGGGCGCCCCTTCCCTGGAGGGGAGCGAGCTCGGCTCTGGGAGGGGGCGGCCTGGTCCAAACCCAGGTCTCTCACCGCAAAGCGGACACCCTGACTCAGTTCCCTTTTCTGAAACACAGGCCCTGGGTGTGGGGAAAGGTGAGGCCCAGCTCAAAAGGCCAAGGGTCTCTGATCCCCAAGGGCATCCCTGGAGTCGGGCAAAGTCTGGACCAGGCCTGGGGGGACAGGTGGGGGAGCAGGCCTTGGTTGGGGCCACGCCGGTGGCTGTGTCCAGATGGGCAGCCCTCCCACCCACATCCGGGGCGGCTGACGCTTGAATCTGGGCCCGACCCCACCCCTCCCGCCCCTCTGACCCCTCACCCCGGGCCCGGCCTCCCTTCGCCCTGTTCTGACCCAGTGCCCAGCAGCAGCCCAGGAGCTGGGCCGGGTCCCACGCCGGGGCTGAGACCTGCTTCCGGTTGGCCCCAACTGGCACTTGGGCCTTGCCCGAAACTGGGGACAGGTAGCACTGCCTAAGGTGGGGCCCACCTCAGCACCGGAGGGCGCCTGTGGTTCAGACGCCTCTGCCTCCGTCTGTCCTGAGCCCTGGGGGTCCTGGACACTTGCTGGAGGCTGTCCGCCCCGGGGCGGCTGGACACCCACCCAGTCGTCGCCCCCAGACGCGGCGGCTCCTGTCGCATCCCAGATACTGTCCCCAGGCGCCCCTCAAGCTCAGTGCCGCCCTTCGGTGGGGGGGCATTGCTTCACGGATGGGAGACGGACCCCTGAGAGGCAGGGGAACCCTAGAGCATGGGGGGCCCTGGCCTCCACCTGCTCAGTGCCCAGGCCGCACCCTGCTGGCTCCTGGGCTTCGAGGGGCTGCCCTGCTGGGGCGGGCCTGGCTTGGGTGAGGGAAGGAGGGGAGAGAGGGCTTCCTGCCCAGCGATGCCCGGCTTCCTGTGGGTTAGCAGGCGCACGGGCTCCACTGGTCAGGGTCACGTCGGGGCTGTGGTCAGGGAGAGGCTGTTGCTGAAGACGTCACTGGGGCCAGGCCCCCCAGCCCCAGCCGCAGCCCAGGCTGCGTGCCCCGGATGACCCCAGACTGCCAGACTGTTGCTTCGACGACTACTGGGCAGGCCTGGTGGCCAGGGCCCCCGTGATCTCTTCCTGCCCCACTGTGTCCTCCTGCCCTCTGCCCTCTGCTTCCCCTGCCAGGACTGAGCCCCCCCTCACTCCTCCCCTGGGGCTCCTGAGGCCCCTGCCCCTCTCTCCCTCCCTCACTCCGTGTGCTCTCTGTGCCTCGATGTCCCCCTCCTCCCCGTGAACGCGCGGCCTTCCCGGCACCACCGGGGGCCCCGGCCCACTTGCCTGTGGCCACGTTCCCACTCCCGGCGTCACCTCCGCCAGGGAGCCTGTCCCGACGCCGATGGGAACCGTCTCGGACAACTCGATGGAGCCAGAGTCCCGGAGTCCTGCCTGAGGCCCGGCAGAGGCCAGGACGGCTGGCATCGCGACTTCACAGGTGAGAAACTGAGGCAGGGAGCAGGGAGCCACTGGCCCAAGATCGCACAGCAAGTGTGTGACAGGGAGGGCTGCGTCCCCTCTGTTTGTCCCCTCGGAGCGGGGGAGAGTCTCCGTGAGCGGCAGAGAATGTCCATCCCTCTCCGCGTGGTCCCCAGGGGAGCCAGCCGGGGGCCCAGCCACTGGCTCACGCGGAAAGGAAGGAGGAGTCGCCCTCCCCCAGCTCAGGCCTCCCAGGGATCCGGGCCTGATCCCAGCCCCTGTCCCGGCCGGCATGTCCCCTTGCGGGGGCCGTGCACCCAGGACAAGGCTGGGCGGGACCCTGCAGCCCCCAGCCCCTTCACAGCCTCCGTGGAAAATCTGCTTCCGGGATAGTGTGACATCCCCAGGGCAGAGGAGGTGGACAGACCCGCCCCGCTCCTGGCCGCCCCCCGGCCCCCTTTCCCCTCAAGTCTGCCAGTGTCTTCCCTGGTCTCCCCACGCTGTGTGCCAGCCTCCCCCAGTCAGCGGTGCCCTGGAGGCGCTCCCCTTTCTCGCCCGTCGTGCCTCTTGGCCTTTGCCCTTCCAGTTCCCTCTGCCAGCTGCCCCTCCCTGTGCCCCTCCCCGCTCCTAACAGTGTAGCCCAGGACCTGTATCCCCGAGAACAATGCCAACCAGACTGGCTGCACTCTCTGGGGCACTGACTGCCACGTTTACCAGCCCCCTCACCTCCCATGCCCCGGGGGGCAGGCACCCACCCCCAATCCACAGACAGGAAGCAGGTGCAAGTTCTGGGCAACCAGCAGCCACCCCTTGGTCTGCGGGATGGACTCACCACCGTGTGTGGGACCCCCCGCGGCCCCCAGCCTGTCAGTCAGCAGGCTACCAAGCTTCCTTCCCTTCTCCTCCTTCTGCCCCGTCTCCTTTCCCATCTCCTCTGAGCCCCTTCCCGCCTCGAGCTGAGAGACACCCTCTCAGGGAAGGATCTCCTGTCCCGTTTTACTTCAGGGACCGCTGGGAGGCTGCAGGGTCACTGGTAGGTGTGGCTACCCAGGTGAATGGCACACCCTGGTGTCGTGCAGTGCGCAACCTACACCACTGTGCCTGGTAGCCCTTGGTCACTCCTGTCTGGCGCCCAAACCCTCCGTCTCATCCCTCTCCGCTTTCTGCCCTGACAGGTGTGAGTGACAGGAAGACTCAGACGCTTGGCAAGGATGCCCCGGCCTGGCCCAGTGTCGGAGAGCTCGGCCCTCAATGGGCTCAGGCAGCATTCTTGGGATGCTTGTGCCCCATTCAGCAGCGGCACTTCCAATGCAAACACTCAGGGCCTCCCACACAATGGTTCCCGCCAGCCTGGCCGGGCCAGCCAGACCCCTCCCCGCCTCCTCCCCACCACCATTGTCCTTCCCTCTGGGGAGGGGCAGGGTGTGTGTGGAGGGGGGACTGGCAGGGGGACAGGCCCCAGTCTGGGGGTGGCTGGGAAGGCTGTGAGAGGATGAACGGACATGCAAATGAGATACTGAAGAACCCGGCCAGGATCCCCCGGAAAGGGGGCCCGAGGGAGGGGCTGGCTGTCTCCTCGCCCCGCCCCCATCTCTGGGCTGAGTCACCAGCCACCAAGGGAACTTCCTTTGCTGGACAGGGCAGCCAGCTCCTTGGGCCTCCCCTCCCCGGCCCGGGAGGTGCCCCTCCTTGGAGTCTGGCCCTCTACACTACGCGTGACCCCGGTGTCGTAGTCCTGCGGGCCTACGTGGTCGGGGCCGAGCTCGGGGGCCAGTGTCTTCCTACCCCACCCCCCCCCCCCTCCCCCCCCAGCACCCGCACACCGGGGGCAGGTGGCCCGGCGTTGTGAAGACCCCCCCCCCCCCCCCCCCCCCCCCCCCCCCACGCTGCTGCCTGTTTCCCTCTGCCCTTGGGTTTCCAACGGAAATGCCTTCCTGTAGTTCAGATCGCGGTGGGTCCCGGACGGTGCCGAGGAGAGCTTCTCTCCAGCACGTCCGGGGCTCACAGCTCCTGAACCGGAGGCAGCCAGGAGGCCGGGCCCTGTGTGTCTGTGGAGCACATGCCTCCCCGGCCGTCCTCGCTGCGCCCTCACACCTCTGGAGCCCACTCTGTGCCCCACCGGGCCGGCCGCACAAATGGCCCCGTCTTAAAACGTGGACGCCTTCCTTTGCCCGCGGAATGTTCTGCTGTGTGGTTTGTACGGTCCGCTGATGGACACTTTGGGTTTTTTTCTGGCCAGCCCAGGACCACCAGTGGGCAGGATGCCTCTCCGGAAGCGGGGCCGCGGGGTCAGACGTCGTATTGGTAGCTCTGACAGATGGGGCCGAGCCTGGGTCCTCACGGCCCGCAACCGTGCGTAACAAAGCCGTGGCCGGTCACACAGGCGAACCGGCGATCGCTGCGATCATCGAGGCTTTGGGAGCGTGTCTGTCACCGACAGTGAGTCTGAGCGTCTTTCCACACGTCCGTGAGCTTTCCCCTCTCATGCGGACCCTCCCTTCATGCCCTTTGTGTTTTCATTTCTTCCCTCCTTGAGTTAACTTTTCTTTATTGATTTTTTGCAGCTTTTTATATATGAAGGAAATGAGCCCTCTGCCTCCATGGATGCATAGCTTCTCCGTGTTGCTAAACGGCAGACCTTGACCACTTCAGGGGGTTTTCGTTATGCAGAAATTTTATTTTATGTATTTGACCTTAAGAAAAATTTTTGTGGATGTGGTCTTTGTACTGGTCTTGGTACTTTGTGGCACGTTTAAAAAGGTCTCACCTCAGGTTTATCAAGAATTTTCTTCCACGTTGTTTTTTTTTTCCTAGGCTTTGTGGTTTTGCTGTTTACCTTGAAACCTGGCCCGTTTGGAATTTATTTTGTGAGAATACAGACCCAGCTTCGTTCTTTCCAGATGGCTGTCTGCCTCCCCGGGCGTCGGTGGGTTCTTGAGCAGCCCACCTTTTCTCACTGATTTGCAATCCCATCCGGGTCCCACGCCAAACTCTCCTGTGTATTCGAGTCTGTTTCAGGTGAAGGGAGTATTTGTCCAGTCAGATTTTATTATGATTATTTTTAACTTTATTTATTTTTGAGAGAGAGGGAGAGAGAGAGAGAGAGAGAGAGCGCATGAGCAGGGGAGGAACACAGAGAGAGGGAGACCCAGAATCGGAAGCAGGCTCCAGGCTCTGAGCTGTCCGCACAGAGCCCGGTGCGGGGCTCGAACCCACGAACCGCGAGAGCATGACCTGGGCCGAAATCGAGAGTCGGACGCTTAACCGACAGAGCCCCCCAGGCGCCCCTAGTGTGATTTTTTTTTACAATCAAGGATGTTGCTGCGTTTTGTCCAGCACCTTTCGGACATCCAGCAGGGGTGCGTGTACGAGCTGCTCGGAGGGGAGAGCCGACGGTCCGGAGGCCAGGAGGCACGCAGGTTGTGCGAGCAGGTGATTTGAGGAGGTTTCGCAAAAGTGCTCTTCTCGGAGGTGTGGGCAGGGATTAGGGACACCACGAGGGAGAGTGCAGCCTGGGGCCAAGCGAGCCCAGGCCCGAGGGCAGAACTAGCAGAGCATGGGAACCAGTCTCTGGGCTCCGGGTGGAGGGCGGGGCCGCCCACAGGAGGGGGAGGCACAGTGCCAAGACCGGGACTCATCTGGGTTTTGAGGACTTGCTTGGTTGATGTGGGTCCCAGAGCTCCGGCTGGCGTGGCTCTGGGACGGTCTGTGGGTGCCGGAACCACAAGGAGCTCACGGGGTGGGGGGAGGTCGCAGGAAGCCTGGGCTCTCAGAGAAGAGCCCGTGCATTCCAGGGGTGTGACCGAGGCCCCCCGGCAGGTGAGCAAGAGGGGTCTGGGGCGACGTGAAGGTCCCAGGGCTGGAGCCGGGAGGCTACAGGGGGTCAGAGGTGACCCAGCCCCAGAGCACCCGGGGTCTGGCCCTCGGGGGCACCGTATGAGCCCCGGGGGATACCCCCGGCCCTCCCCAACCCCAGCATCTCTCTGCCACCGTCCCTGGAGTGGGGAGGCCACTGACTGTGGCCTCCTGCCTCCTGCCTCCTGCCAGCCTCACCAGACAGCTTCAAAGAGAGTGGCGGGGGTGCTTTGTAAGCCGATTCCCTCTTGGCCTGCCAGGGCCACTGGGGCCATGCCTGGGAGCACCCCCCCACCCCCCCGCCACCCTGTCCCCGCGACCCACCAGAGAGAGATGCCTCCTTGCTCCAGGAACCCGAGGCGGCCGGGAGAAGACAGCCCCTCTGTTCAATTCCCTGCTCCCTCTCCCGCCCGGGGTTCTTTCTATGGGTTATTCTGTGAGCACAGTGGAGGGGCTGGTGGGTGCATTGGGTCTGTTGAAAGGTCCTGTGCTCCAAGGCAGGCCACACTCTGGTCCTGGCCTGGCCCCCGGAGGTCCTGGCTCTGTGTCCTCCTTTCTGGAGTGGGACCAGTGGTGACAATGCGGTCTTGTCTGGGGAGATCCCCAAGTGAGGGAGAGCCCCCAGGATGGCCATGCTGTCCTACAGGACGAAGCAGTCCCGCGGGGGCGGGTCCCGGACCAGCCTGCCCACCCTGGTACCCACGCTGGGCTGGTGTGGGAAGGGGCTCAGTCGATCCCGTGGGAACCCTGAGGCCTGGGCCTGTTCCCCACAGGATGGGGAACCAGAGTCCAGCCTGTCCTCAGCCCCAGGGCTCTCCTACCTCGGGCCTGCACATCTGGACCCAAGGCCATGCTCAGCACATGGGGAAGGGGGACACCGCCTCCAGGCAGGACGGGGCAAGTGCGGGGGGGCAGGGAAGGAGCCCAGACTCGGGTCCCCGTCTTGGGCCCAGGGGCTGTTCCTTGGCGCTCTACCCATCCTCTCTGAGAGACACGGCAATCGTCCCCTCTCTGCCCTCCTGCCCTCCGGTGACAAGGCTGTACTGGGGTGGGGGGGGTCCCAAGGATTCGGGAAGACGCATCCACCTCCTGATGCCTGGGGCCCACGAACGTGACTTTATGTGGAAAAGGGACTCTGCAGATGTAATCAAGGTGGGGACCTTGAAATGAGAGCCCCCGGGACCAGCATGGCCCTAAATCCAGTGACAAGTGTCCTTATAGGAAGGGAGAGACGCAGACACCGAGGAGAAGCCGCTTGGAGACGGAGACGGGGCAGAGGCTGGAGCGAGGCGGCCCCAGCCAGGGACGCCCGGGGGCCCCAGACACTCCCCCCACCCCAGAGCCCCCACCCCCGGACGGAGTGAGGCCCTGCCCTCCTTGGTCTGCCTTGTGGTCTCAGAGCCGGTGGAGAACACACTCGTGCTGTCCAAGGTGCCCCCGTGGCAGCGTGGCCTCTGGTCTCCGTCCTCCCGGCCCCCGCCCCCGGCTGCCTCTCGTGTCTTCCCTGCCTCCTTTGCTACGACCACTGACCTCGGGCTCTAAACCCCACATGCGCGTCTTGGCCAGGACCTCTCCCCACGGAGGCCCCTGTCCGAGCGCCCGGCACCAAGCGGGCACCTCCCCCGTGCCCGGTGAGCATCCCTCTTGGTCTGGGGCACCCCCTCCGCCCCCTGCACTGGCTTCAACCGCCCCCTTCTTCAACCGCTGGCAAATCCCACCAACTCAGACTTCAGAATGAAGCCACAAAGCACCCTTTCTGTCCCCACCCACTGGATTATTTGGGGGCCTCTAACTGGGCCCCCTCCCTGCCCTCACTGTGCTCTGTGGAGCGGCCAGAGCCCCCTCCCTCACTTCGCTCCAAACCTGCCTTACCACTTCGCACTGGCTGTTCCCTCTGACGAGAACACCCTTCCCTACGTCCCTTCCTGGCTGGCCGGTCCCCTCACCGCCTTTGCCTGCAGCTCGTCCCACGTTCCCATTATGCCTCCGGCTTCCTCGGGACCGCTCGCCCCCCCCATTGGAAGTGCTGATCTTCTGTCTGTGGGCCTAGCCCCCGTCACGACACTTTCCACGCGCCCTTCTCTCCCTTGTGGCCGAGTCACCCAGAGCGCAGGTGACGAGATCAGCAGGCTCTGTCCTCGAACGTATTTGCAGAGGGATGAACTCATGAAGGATGGAGATGAAAACAGAGACACAGGATGAGCAAACCCCAGGCTGGAGGCCGACAACTCGGGCCGGTGGTGCTGGGGGCGCGGGGACTCGGCAGCAAAGGGCCCGTGGGGCTTCAAGGCCTTCGGCGACACCCAGTCTTCCAGAACAGCCGCGCTGTTCAGGGGGCACCCCAAGAAAGGATCCCGCAAACCGAGGGGACGCCCACAGAGGCCTCTGCGAGGGGTCTCGGGACAGCAGGTGGGGGCTGGCGGCCTCCCAGGTGCTGCACGCCCGGACGTCGCCTTTCCGCCACGGTCGCTTTCCCCGGCCACCCCGCCGGGCTCGGGGCCCTCTGCCAGCCCTGCCTCTGGGGCCGCCTGCCTCCGTCCTTCCGTGGTTCCGCTAGGACATTCTCTGGAAAGCCAGAGTGCGCACAGAACCCGCCGCCACGCGGGCCACCACACCCAGTGCCCCACGGGGATCGTCATTTCCCAGGACGCGGGGGCTGCGTCTTCGCGAGACTGTTTCCGTGCTAAATAAAATCAAGATTCTGCGCGACCCGGCGAGCGTCCCCTGGTCGAAGCCAGCCATCACCGAAGCACGCGACCCAGCGAGGCTGTTTCCCACCCGGCCCCAGAGATGCCGGGGTCATCTTCATACTCGGGTGCCGGGCACGGGCCGCGTAGGAACAAAGCCAGCCTGGGAATTTGGGGGAGAAACGTCTCCAGTCCAGGGGCCCGTGTTGGCCAGAGCCTGTGCGCGAGGCCCCTCCGGGCTGGGAGCTCAGGGCAGGCGTCCAGCAGCTGTCATGCCCGTGAAGGTGTTTTTATGCCCAAAAGTGCTTGTGGGAAAGTCAAGGGAAACAGAAGGACCCTAATCACAGGCGAAAGGGGACCATTTGCTACGTGAGGCCAACCCCCTCCTCGGGGCCCCAGGGAGGTTCTACACTGGGGGAGGCCAGCGGAGGGCCAGCGCCGGGGGCTTGGCTGGGGGGTGCTCCGTATGGCACAAAGCGGTCCTTCTGGGGCTCGTCTCCAACTAGACCTAGTCACAGCCGCTGAGCGTGGCCGGCGGGGCCCCTGCCCCGACCCTGGGCCGTTGGTCTTGCCCGTTCCCAGCCCCACTGAGCCCCCAGCGTGGCTTTCCGTGACCGAGGAGTCTGGGGGGCAGGGAGGGTGTCTGCCCGGAGTGGCCCTCACCCGGCAGGGCACCCCCACTCCAGCCTCAGACCCGTCTTCGGAGGGGATGAGCTCGGGCCCAGGCTCCCCTGTCTCCACCTTCAGGAGGGGCTGGGCAGTGTCTGGGCCCACAGAGACAGCTTCCTGCTGGAGCCCCCGCTCCCGGGGCCAGCGGCCCCCCTGCGCCTCCCTCACTCAGCCGGTAGATGTTTTCCTCACTGTGCACCAGACACAGAGACCAGGGAGAGAGAGAGAGAGGCAGGCAGTGAGGGCTTCCTGGGGGAGGAGTCGGACGGCGTGCTCGGGTCCAGCGCCCTGCAGGCCTGTGCGGACACAGTCCACCTGACCTGTCTCCCCCGTGTTGGGGCAATGGGGTCGAGTCACTATGCTTCCGGCCGACCTCCACCCCTCGCCACCGGGGTTCCTCCTGGTGACCCGTCCACCGAGGAGGCCAGAGGTGGGTCCTGACGTAGCAGGGGAGGGAGTCTGCGGCTCCCTGGGGCCCTCCAGCTCGCCACACAGATCGGGGGCGGCCGCTCCCGAGCCGGTCACAGACGTGGGACGCAATGAGGGGTCCTGACCTCCTGTCCCCTCCAGCTCACAGTCTGGCTGGCACCTCGCCTTGCCCCCTGGCTCAGCCTCTGAGCTCCCGGGGACACTGCTGGGCTGGCCGCAGGCTGGGCACCGGGGACTCCGGAAGGTCACTTTTCCTGGCCCTGTTCTCAGGGTGTCCAGGGTCAGGGGCTTTGTCTGCAGAGGGATCTAGGCATGAATCAGGGGCGAGCAGCTCTGGGCCCATTGGGCCCCCGTCACCCCCATCCTGGCCCAGCCTGTGTGTTTCTGCGCTCGCCGTGCCCACCTGTGTCTGCCTGGGCCTTATCCGGTGGTCCCGCCGTGCCCTCCATGAGCCCACACAGACCCCTCACGGTGGGAGACCCCAGCAGCTCAGCCTGTCCTCGCCCCCTTTCCGCGGCCCTTCCCTGCCGCCCCTGGCCTGGGGGGCTCCCGTCCAAGCCGGCCCGCTGGCTCCTGCCCCGATCGGTGGTGTCCCATCTCACCACAGCCCAAGATAAGGGCCCAGCTCAAAGCTGCTTTGTTCAGCCAACAAAAGGACATTTCTGCGGCGCCCTGGGAGCCGGGCCGCGGGCCGGCCCGCACTGGGGAGGCCCCGGCCCAGCCCCGGCACCAGCTCGGGAAACCTTAGCCCGGCCCTGACTGGGCTGCGGGGGCTGGGGACGCACCTGCCACAGGCTTCCCAGGCCCTCGGGCCCACGGGGGGTGTCTCCTTTCCGTGCCCTGGCCCTGCCCACGGCCACCGCCGTCCCCGCCCCTGGGCCGCAGGGCCCAGGGCCTCCCACCTCCTCAGCGAGGAGGGCCACCACCTGCGGGGACAGGGGGACAGATGCAGACGTGCGGCCAGGAGCCTCACGCAGCTGACAGTCACCGGAGGGGCGGGGTGGGGAGGGCCCAGCTGCTGCTTCGGCGCCCCCCCGCCCTGCCTCCTGGCCTTTGTCTCTGCCTTTCCGTCCTCCAGGTGTCCTTTCCTTTCTCCACACCCTCCCCAGCTAACTCTGCCCTGAGGGTTGCTGGGGGCCCGATGAGGTGCCCCGCGAGGGGCCGCACTTGACGTGTTTTGTGCTGGACTGAGGGTCCGTGGTATTTGTGGTCGGCGGAGTTGTGGCCTTCAAAATATGCCCTCCTGAGACCTCAGGACGTAACCTGATTTGGAACAAGGGTCTTTTCAGAGGTAATTAAGGTAAAGACCTCGAGATGAGCTCCTCCTGGACTAGGGTGGGCCCTAAATGCGGTGAGGGGCTTCCTCAGAGGAGGAGAGACACAGGCTCTCTGGAGGCAGGCCACGGGGGCGGGGAGCAGGGACGCGGCCACGAGCCCAGGAAACCGGGGATCGCCGGCGACCGCCGGCAGCTGGACCCTCCCTGGGAGGCTTCAGAGGGGGCTGAAGCCCACTCCGGGACTCCGGACTCTGGCCCCCAGAACGGGAGAGAATACGTTTCTATTGTTTTAAGCCCCCACGCTTGTGGAGCTTTGTTGAGGCGGCCCCAGGAAACGCACAGAGAGTCGTCAGATGTCCCCCAGGCACGAGGTTAGAGGGAGCCTCCTGGGGCCTCCCACACCCCAACCCAGGTGTGTCAGGGTTCCCAGCCGCCAGTCTCCCGAGGCACAAGGCCGTGTCCCCTTCTCTGCCTCCCCTCAGCGGCTGCCACTATCTAGCTGGCCTGTTGGGCGCTGACCCGTCTCCGGGGGGCGGGCCGGGAGGCTGGGCCCCCGCCCCACCTGCGGCGGCCTGTCTCTCTCTCTCTCTCTCTGCTTGGGGTCTGCAGGGCTCCCCACCCCCCAACTTCCTCCCTCTTTCCCGTGGGCCTGGCCACAATGAGCAGCTCCCGGGGCGTCCCTGCATTCACCCTTCCCCCGGGCTGGCTGGAGCCGGCCTTCCTTCCACCCCCCCCCCCCCGGGCTTCCCACGGGGCGGGAGGCTCGCTTGGGCCCACCCTGCATGCCTCGGGTCACGGTCACGGGGTCACAGGCCAGCACAGCAGGAGCAGCAGGGAGCCACGGTCTCCCTACTCACAGGCCCGTGGACAGTGAACAACTTGCTGAAGGTCATACAGCTAGTGAGTGGCCGTCCGGGCCTGGTCACTGGGCACCTGACTCACTTCCCGTCACACCGTCTCCGCCCTGCCCCCACGGCCCCTCCAGGGAGCGGCGAAGCAGGGACGCTGGACGGGGCGACAGCCGCCGCCCCCCCATCTGGGTGGTTACAGATTCGGGCCCGGGCGCGTCGGGCCAGTCTACCAATTCTGGGGGCCCGGGAGCGTGCGTCCGCGGGACGGGAGACGGACAGGGAGGGCACAGGCACACTGGGTTGGAGGCCAGCCGCGGCCGGTCCCCTGGAGGTGGGGCGGGGGGGGGCAGGGGTGCAGGGGTGCAGAGCAGGGCCCTTCCGGAAGGGGCAGGGCGATGGGCCTGAACCACCTTCCTGCCTTTGGCTCCTTCGTGTGGGTATTCGTCCCTTCGCTCCTCGAGTATCTGCCCAGCGTGCACCACGCGCCAGGCCTGTGGGGCCCCGGGAGGTCCCCTCCTGACACAGGCTGGGAGGCAGCCGGGCGGTGGGCCGGTGGGGGCGAGGCCGGCGGAGCTGAGTAGGAGCAGACCCCGTGCGGCCAGAGCCCAGGTGCCGGCAGGGCCCGAGCCCCACCAGCAAGGGGCACAGCCTTGCGGGAGGCCCCCAGCCCGCCCCACAAGCCGGGAAGGGGGAGGTGGGCCGCCGGCCATGCCCGCGCTCCTGCGGGGTCCCGGCTGGGCCCGCTCGCGCGCACACAGCGCTCTCCCACGGTCTCCCAGGCACAGGGTCGTAGACACTCACGCGCTTAGGCCGGGGTCAGGCAGGAAATACCCGGCGACTGTTTATCCGGTGACATATGCACTTTGTGCGTGGGACCTGAGGGTCCTGTTCTCAAGGACCCTGCCCAGGCGGGGGCCCGCCCTGGGGAGGAGGTGTCTCTAGACGTCCCTGGGGAGCTGGCCCTGGCCCTTCTGTGCAGGGAGCAGGTTGGGGGGCACGGGAGCTCTGGGCAGGTGCCCTGTCTCCCCACCTCCGCCCTGGGCATCACGCAGCCTCTTGGGTCCCTCCCGCTCCCTGACCGGCACCCGGTACAGATCCTGCGACAGGCTTGTGGGGAGGTGAGTGTGCAGCTTGTTTACGTGTGTGTGACCCACACGCATATGTGCCGGTGTGAGTGTGCGTGTCCTGAGGCACGTGTGTGCTGCGGGTGCACGCGTGTGTGGGTGGGTGTGTGCACGTGTGCGTTTGCACACGTATGCTTGCACGTGCGGGGCAGGAACGGGCTTGTCGTCAGGCTCCGGGGCCCGGGTCTGGAGGACACGGCGCTCTGGGGCAGGTGGTGACGCGAGGCCGCGGTGTCCCTGGGCAGAGGCAGGCGCTCCGTGCCTCCGTGATGACCCAGGGGTTGGGTGGGGCCCGCGCCCACAGCACCCACACCCCGCGGTGACCGCCAGGGTGCCCCCCTGCGGGACAGGCGGGCTCCAGGGGGCAGAGGCGCAGCAAGGTTGGGACCCAAAGGAGGCCTGTGCTCCCCCAGCCCGGGTGGGGTCTGCCCTGGGGCCTCCCAGGTCCTCAGTACCCCCCCATCTGAACAACGGCGGGGGGCAGCATGGGCTCTGGTCTGTCTCTCTCTCTGAAGGCCCCGGGGCAGCTCTGAGCCCTGCCAGGCCTGCCTGCACTCCGGGCCGACATCCCCCCCCCCCCCCCCCCCCCCCTCCCCCCCCCCCCCCCCCCCCCCAACAGGCCGCAGTCCCAACATCTGGTTGGTGTTTCCAGGAGGTGGGGGTGGGGGTCGCCTC